CGTCACGTAAGCACTGGACCACACTGGCACTTGCACGCAATATCGCACGTAACTGAGACGCGATGAAAAGCCCACGGCAGTAGTAGTTCGTTTATTGAAAGAAATCAGAGGGATTAGATAATATGCACAAAACAAATTCATTAGTCATCCGGGCCTCTGCCAATCGCGTACCAGTATCCCTGCCGTCGTTCAGCTTCTGTCTGGGCCGCACAAGTTCTCATTGGCTGGTAAGCTCGACCTATGGTATATAGTCCAGAGGCTGTGGCACGCACGCGCTTTGCTGACGACACCCGTGAAGCTTGATTGATCACAGTTGTCCTAAAACTGTAACGCGCCACTCCAGGGTAGCGTCATCTTGCAGGCTGAGATCACCACAGAATAGTAGATCGGCTGTCGGTTATCTGGCTGTCCGATTGATGTGAGTAAGTGTGAACCAAATTGGTCACCGATCCAGCCTCTGTCCCGTTGCGTAAGGAACAAGCTTGTGATTAACAACGGAGAATGTACGATTCACAGGCAACTTGAAACACCGAACCCTATTTGTCCGAAAAAAGGACACCCGTCTCGAGTTCATGTACCGTTTCAATGTCCCCGATCACTGACGTAAAACAAACAGGCACAATAGGTCGGTAAATCGTGGTGAGTGATAGTGCACAGTCAGACAGGTAACTATTAACTGGAAACCTGTTCAAAAATGTTGCCTAATTAACGCAAATATCACTTATTTTAGCCATTACCAACCCAATAGAAGCGCGTATTCAGTGAACTGAGGAAGAAGACTGTGCTGAATAATTTTTCTTTCTTCTTTTCAGTTTACTTCCTTTTTATTGAATGCGCAAAGATACAATTTTTCAGGAAGGGAGAGACGGTCAATCAAAGGGCTGCCATTCAACACATCCAATGGGGGAAAATCAGGCGGTAGTGGTGAGATTCTAACATATTCCCGGAGTGATAATTTGTTGACATTACCACCGTAGTCTGAGATTAAGAAATAACTTCCATGATGATTGGTACCAGATTACATCATTTGGTTCAAATAACCACGCATGCACACTTGTGGATAGCAAAAAATACACAAGCACATATTCAAGATGAACTGCAAGAAGAAACAAAACTGCGCGAGATTTAACCCCTTAAACTAAATCTAAACATGTTCGCAACCAAAATAAATGCACACGAAATAATCTCATCTCAGGTTTTACTCTCCCCCGGTCAGAAACGATTTCGGAGTCTTTGAATTTTGAGACCCTTATGATATCGATCAAAAATGTGTGACTGGGGACAAAACAAGTCGAACTACAGAAAAACATTTATTTGTCGCACACATATTGACCCAGGATATGTCGTCTTCACGCAACGCACTCTGTGGGGAATGGTGAGAATAAATGGACCAAGAGCACGGATACCGACACAGTTGCGTGGGAAACGCGTGGCACTCCAAAGTGAACATCCATCGAGCATCGTAAATAAAAATTGCGTGCATCTTCCGGGGAGAGGTAGATAATGAGTGCGTTTGTGTGTGACCGTTCCCTATCAGCGGCTAACCAACTGACCCCGGGGGATCAAACGAATCATGGGCCCGGGTGTGCTGCGGAAAAAATATACATTTTTCACAATACGCCGATTTTTGATGATGATGATGAATAGAAAACAATCAGCGGTATCTCAACACACACAAACAGATCCGCTGACTGGTAGCGACCTTTTGAAAAGTCTGACTCACCGTCGAAGATTACGCGTGTAATCCGGAGGGCCGTAACTCGTTCAGTAAGAACGCGCACGACCCATAGTGGCTACCTTCTAGCCTTCCTTTCCTTATCTAATATCTCAGATTCTGGAATATGCGTGTTTAGTGGGCCGGGCAGATCTGCGTATTCAGTTTGCCGCTATTGATAACGATATCCACGGAGTGTGCAGCTGGCAACCGAATCCCCGTTTCTCGAACCCAACCAATCCTCGTCACCTTCCGTGCACTGGGGTTGACAATTCGGGGGGGGGGGGGGGGGAGAAGG